TGTGGTGTCGTGCTTAAAACAATTGAGCAAGCTTTGGTGACACTACTGTGATGTCATATTTAAAACTATCAAACGATATTTTTTTCAGTGAGATTTATTATATTGAAAATATAAATTATTTTATTTATTATTGTTTTCCTACTTCTTTAATATTTTTTAATACAAAAACGTAGAGATATTTTTCCTGTATACTTAATATAAATGTAAACTTGTAATCACATACTTTTACAAATATTCCATACGCGTTTTCATTCGAATCATCGTTTCAAAAAAAAGAAAAAGATTGAAAGAGAGAGTCAGTCGCATCGTTTACGGTAAGATTATAATCGCTGTGAATTTCTTCGTGAAAAGGAAGTCAAGAAGAAGAAGAAGATAAAGATAAAGATGAAAAGAAGAAGAAGAAGAAGAAGATCGGCAAAAGGGGTTTTAGTCCCAGCAAGAGTAGACCGTCCAAGCAATGAAGATCGCGAGCAAAAAGCGGGGAATTCCCGCGTCCGGTGCTCCGCTTGGCCGGACGGCACATGCGCAGCTAATTACAGTTCTCTTTGATGATTTGCCGCTGCCGCCACGGCAAATGCTTGCTGTTGCAGTTGCCTTCAGGACCCTCGATCGCCCACAAACCAACCAACCAACCAACCAACCATTCTTAGCCCTTGGCTTTCCTCTTCCAAGTTTCATCCTCACCGCAATTTTATGCCTTCAAACACATATGTATATATATATATATACATGGTGATATATTCGAATATGACTATAACTGTCATTTGTTTTTAAAAAATAAACTTGTCCCTTTCATCAAATCTATTTTTTTTCTTCTTCTTCTTCTTTTTATCAATAGAAGAATATAAGAATCTCAATTATCAGTTAGAATAATTGAATAAAAGATTTGGTTAGATGGTACAACATAATGATAAAAGAAATAACCAATGAACATCCGGGAAAGGAATAGTGGGGAGGTTGTGAGGAGGTTATGGGGAGGTTGTGGGGAGGTTTTGAGGAGGTGGTAGAGAAGTGGGGGACTATTCATTAAAAGTGCCGAAGGCGGCGAACGATTGCTTATAGCTTATAGCCTCTACTTGAAGCCTGCGCATTAAATCCATGTTATTACTGGCTATTACCGGAGTAATGAGAGGCTCCCTTGCACCATTTACGTATCCGCCAGTATTCTCTCTCACCAACTCTTCCCTTCTGTCTGGCAAAACCCTACATATATATCTCTCATCCCGTTTCTAATGAAATCCCGTTTTATTCTTTCCGATATTTGATATCATCTTGTAGCAACTTTGACACCTATCAGTAAACTTGTAAACTTGAAACCGTGTATCTTCATATTCCAATGTTATTTATCGTTTTTTAACTTTAACATTTATTATTGTTAGATGGTGTAATTTTGTATTATTTAATAATATGATATAATATATTAAATAATAATATAGTGATATTTTATATATTATCTTGATTATTTAAGTATAAATGAAGTTTAGGCCACTTTCAATACTACACGGTTCGATTATTAAAACTAATACTGAAAACTTATGTGTCAAGAATTATCGTATTTGCTCGTATTATAAGCAACCTGAAATGTTTTACTGATAAATAATATAAAGTTCTACACGTAATCATGATAACGGGAAAAGAAAAACTGAAAAAACGGTGTTAGCCCACTTTSAAAATAAATTACTTTATTGATATTATTGATATTAAGTGATATTAATTTTTTAAGACAATATTCAATCTGTCGCGTTTGAATTTATATATTACGTTCATTTATATGTATATATAT